TATTGTATAAAAAAGATTTTATCTAGGACAATATTTTAAATCCAAGGTCTTATTTTTTTACAGAAGCGAAATTGCAACTCTTTTATATCTTTTAGAATGATTCAAATTCAAATAATTTTTTAACTAAGAATGTTGATATGGACAGGGTTGGCAATGGACTATGTTCATTGAAAATAAGATTTTCAATAGATCTCAATAACCATTATCATAATTCATTTGTCCATTGTTTCATTAGTCTATTAGAAAAAAGTCTCGATTATCACATAACCTACTTGTTCATTGAAATAGTGACTATTCAATAGAACTAATGGAACTAGTCAATGGACTTGGAGTCCATTCATACCAATGGACAAATGTGCCAACCCTGAATATGGAAGTCATGTAAGTCATATGATATTTATTGTCCAACACCACACAAAAGTAATATCATTGACCTTTAACTTCCATCTGGACATTTCATTCAGAATTCTAATTGAGTTATCTCAAATATCATGTGCCTCCTTTTCTTTGTGGACTTTCTGATTCGCATTTTGTTTGCATCCACCACTTTTTATTTCAATTACCTCTTCTGTATAGAAAGCTTTAATCTTAATGATAAAGCTTTTTGTGACACAAAGGTAGGCTCACATTCCACAATTCCCTTCTATCAAGTATCACTAATATCAATGCACTTTTAACTTCATTTCTTTGCAGACTTCATTTTGTCTTTGCCAATTTCATAATAATCTGATATCGATCACTTATCCCGATTCCTAAATTATATGTTTTGCAGCGCAGCTGTCTTTTTAAATCTCTTTTTCATCTACAATAAACGGTAAGACTTTTACAATGGAATATAGAGATGGTGTAAAATATTTAAATTTTAACAGTAAACAAAATTTATGCCATTAAAATTATCATGAGCCAGATTCAAAGTAGACTTATTATGGAAGTCATGAGATTCGATAGTTATTGGAAGTATTCTTTATTCTATTAATATTGTATCATGATATGATTTAATTTTTACAATATTACCCTATTCTATTCTAGGATATTTGTACAGAATTGGCATTTCAATATACTTTGCGGATTAAATATGAGTCACAAATAATAAATTTATTTTTAAAATGGTTTATTTTTTTTAAAAAAAAAAATTTTTTCTTTTGATTTCTAATAAATTCAATTCTAGACATTAACACTTAGTGTTTGTAGTCAAGTTTGCATAGTCGATTTTTATCGACTTAGCCAGCTTAGTCAGCTGATTTTCCAAAAAATTGACTTAGTCAATTTATGTTAGATTATATGAAGTACCAATCAGATTCGATACATTACTTCTCCTAGTATGTAATACTAAGAATAAGAGCCGAAAAATTCTGACGAACATAAAATACGAGCAAGGTTGCAACAAAAATTTGATGAAATCTTCGATAAATTCTGAAGGTAAAAAAAAATATATATTAGTCGGCTAAGCCAAATTTTAATTATCAACTTGTCAAGTTGATATTATTCTCGCTCGGATCAGTTTATTTACTCGAAGAAAGTACACTATGGAAGAGAAGGGTGCCATGCTGTGGCTCTAGCTAATATTGGTGCCAATATGTATGTACTACAATTATTTGTTACAATTATTTAGTGTTACAACAAAGTCACATAATGAAGATTTAAGAGGATCGGACATGTTCAAAGGTGGTGAGTTAATTATATATATATATATATCTAGTTTGACTATTTTTTTTTTTTTTTTTTTTTTTCTCTAATTTCGCATCAAGAGTTGGGAAGCCAGTTGCCAAGCAGTGTAGTTCAAGTTGGCAAGCACATCCCTGAGCATCCTAAATAACAATTAATTCTTATTTTCCATTTCTTCTTCGTATAAGGAGTCAGTAAGTTCATTGTCAAGCAAGGTAACTCAAATTTGCTAACTTATTACCAAGCATTCTAGATTTTATTATGTTTTTGTTTCTTTTTCTTTCTTATTTTCTTCTCTTTCTTTCTTTCTCCCTCTTTTTTCTTCTCTTTTTTTTTTTTTTGAGCAGGACTGGGAAGGATCCCAATACAAAAGAGCTAGAGCAAAGTCGACAGTAAAGAAAAAGGGCACTACTAACCAAAAGGTTCCTAATGAACCCCTTAATAGTAATTTTGTCACAGTTCTACAATTGTTTTGGTTATCCTGAATGATCCTCATGATAATAATCTTAGCATGACTATCGTTATGCTCTGGTCAAATGAGGATCGACTACAAATACTACTAACACTAATCTAGGTTGTGCATTAAAAAACTTGATTCGCAATTATACTGTATGCTACTGCTTACAATGCCCAGGTTTTATTTAAAAATTCCATTTTTAAAATTGAATATACCTATAAAGAACTGGGTACTATATTGGAATATATCATATTAAAAGTAAAAATCAATATAGTTATACTCCTGGGTCTTATTCAAGAAACAGGTTGGTAGCAATGATGAGTAATATCTATCTCTTAATCACGGGTATTATTTTGGGGGATACCGAAAGCAGGGCATATGGTAGTTTGATCGCTACTGTAATATTTTTGTGTGTCCCCTAGTTTATATTTGGCAGATATTTACACCAAGATCATCCTTTCTATATGCTTTAAGCATCTTATGCTTTGCTAATACACTCTAAGATTCAATGATGATCATCATAGAATTAATTTTTATTATGGTCTGTTTGAAATTCTTTATTTAGTTTTAATTGTTAGTTTAAAATAAGCTAATATTCTTTTTTTTTTTTTTTTTTAAAGTTTGGCCATAGGTATCTTGATAGGGTCTAAAATTTTTTTGTTCTTGTATGACTGCCAAACACATACTTTATAGTTCATGCTAGAAGTTCGAAAATCAAGGTATAGTTAATTTCTTAAATCCTAATTTAATGTTATACTGTTTGTTGAAAATGAATAACAGGATTGATTTATATGAATTAGGGTCAATAGTTCTTAAAGATACAAAATCATGTGAAAAAATACTACAATAATATCGAAAATATTGTTATAATTTTATTATATAATAAAATGTAATAAATAAAAATAGTAATCAAAATGATTTTATTATATTTTTGAGTAATTAATTCTATTATTTGAGTGCTTTTCATCTGTTATTTTCATAGCACCACAATGTAAATCAGAATCGCGACTTTCGACTGCTCTATCTAGCCATTTTTCATTCTTGACCTAAAATAAAATATTATATAGCATTAAGTAACTGGTTTAGATAGAAGTCAAAATGCAAATGCCAATTTATAAAACTGGATACAGATCTTTAACACACATTCCTTCAATGATAGTATTTCAGTATGATGCAAGATTCTATTGTGTTGTAATGCCATCTTTGTTCATCAGGTTTCAAATACCACTTAATCTTTGGTTATGCACCTGCGCAATTTTTATAGTGGAATCAAAATCTTCTAATTGTCACCTTAGTAGTGCCTTTTTTTCATTCTTAGCTATGTCTATACCATTTCGTAGCATGATCCAGATATGATCTGTCCACTCTGATCACAATCTTTATCAGGAACTTTCAGAAAAAGAAACTCAGAAGAAGTTGGCTAAAATTGCTACTCACGACCAAGCTGAAAGACAAAAGATTCTAAAATAACAAGAAAGAGAAATAGCTTTAGAAAATGAGAGAAGAGAAAATAAAAGAAATCTCCAAGACCAAAAAAAGCGTTATGAATTAAAAAAACTAAAACAAAATAACAAAAAAGAATTTCAAATATTACTCAAATCCTTTTTTTCATCTTTAGCTGTATCTATATCTTCATCATAGAATATTCCAAGATTAGGTGATTCATCCGAATTACCACATTCAAATACCAATCGAATGTCTATGTCATTTTGGTAGCGAAATCCAAGTCTAATTTGTCCAACTTATTTGCTGCCTTTGGCAGATTTAAAATACCATACAAATGCTTTAGGTTGTGCCTAATTTTAATAGCAGAATCTAGCCTGATTAGTATATTTGAATTTATTACCTTCAGTAGATTTCAAATATCACACAAGTGCCTTTTTTATTCTTAGCTACATACCATTTCCATAGCAGAATCCAGTATTACCTTTGTTATAGAATATTCCAAAATTAAAAGGTCTGAATTACTATCTTAAGTGGGTTTCAAACACCACTCAATTGCCTTTTTTTATCTTTATAGAATACTTCAGATTACGTGTCCATCTGAATTGCCACCTTTGGCAGCTCAAATACCAATCAATGCTCTTGCTGTGTCTCATATAACAGTATCTCTGGTTGATATTCCATAAAATACTGTTTATTTGGTGTATTAGTATGGAGGACGTGCATACTGCTATGTTAAAACTTGATAAAAAAGGATATACAGCACACTCTCTCTAAATGCACACTCAAGTTCTGGCCCAAATATATACATGCATCCTATAAATGCACATACTCTTATTAATCTATAAGTGCACGTTAAAGCTTGGTTCCAAGAGCGTGCACTTCTAGAGGTTTTACTGTAGTTACTTTGGCGTTTATGATGGCCACGATTAGAGAATCTACAAAATTTAAATCCAAATTAGTCATGTAATTCGGAAATTAACTTCTTATATGGTGCATTTCGAGATATTATAGCATGCTAATAGAATATTTTACTTAGTTGAGTCTAAATCACTTTTTATAAGTGCATTCTTTCCCAACAACTTATACTTTGGGTTGACATTGCGATTGCCTTGCGATCTGTGTATTTTCAGCACTGTTAAGATGTCTACTTAGATAATGCCGTATCAATCTATAGTTACCTCTGTGCCGAGCTTGCTGTTCTGAGTTTTTTTTTTTTTTTGGCTCTTCTAAAAAAAAACTGTACATTTATAAGATGGATTTTTTATTAATTAAACTGCATCAAATTTACTTAGTGTATGTTGATCATTTTATTCGGATAACTTGCAGATTATCAATTAAAGGTTTTTGTTTGTTTAAATACTCTATATTGGTATTTGTTTTTTAGGTCTAGTCTTTATAGTAGTGCTGTTAAAGATTTATATTATCTTTTTATTTAGATCTTTTTAAATAAACTTCTTGTTTTTTAATTTTTTTAAATTTCTATAGCTACAAAGACTTATATTAGATTTGCATTATTCAGTACTAGTTTGCATTCCTCTGTATAAATAGTTATACAAATACTTTTTTTTTTTTTTAAGCAGTTATAATAGTACTTTATTAAACTATTTGTAGATATATATATAAATACAGAATATTATTTAACTTATAAGTCTACTATCATTTGGCTACCCAAATAGTAACTAAATATAACTGACACACTAATTTAGTTAGGACTAGAAATTACAACTCATCTGACCTTTGCCTTACAATAGGATATTACTAATCTGATAATATCTTTTTGTAAAAAAGAGAAAAACAAAAAAAAATAATTTTAAAATCGAAAAAAAGAGAAACAAAAATAGTGAGTAAAATAAAACTAACAAAAAAAAAATAAAACTAATCTATAAGAAGAATAAAAGAAGAAACCTGCTAATAGGATAAAACTCTATTCTATAATTGCTGCTTATTATAATGTTTTTATATTTTTATGAACTATAACTATTCTTTAGAAACTAAATACTCTTAACTAAAATGAAAACTGTATTTACTTGTAGAATGAAGTTTGAGCTAGGCACTTTCTGTATAGAAGAAATCTTCAAGTAGATGAGATATTGTGCCAAGATTTGAAGTGCACTTAAGCAGTCCAATTCTTTATAAACCCCTATAACTATTTTTTTAAAAAATATTATACAAATAGCTTTGGAATATATGCATATCTTAATATATTTTTGGTCTTTCTGAATTAAATTCTTTTTCAATCTGCTCTACATAATTAACTGACTCATGTGTTTGTTATATTTCTTATTTGCTATATCTAAATAAGCATATAATTGCAAAAAGAAGTGATGCACAATGTTGATCTTTTGATAAGAGTAAGCCAAATTTCTATTTTTCAAAAAAAAGAAACCAAAAAAAATATAAAGAAATGATATATCATTGTTGCAAAAATTCAAATTAAAGAGAGTTTTTCTAGTTGTTTTTCTTTTTCTTCTGTTTCTAATATTTTTAACTAGAGAACTAATTTTGTTTCTACTTGCTTTCAGAATATTCTTTCTGTTTGAATGCTAAATATGCAAAAGAGTCCATCAGACAAAAAGCTTAACTCAAAACAAGAACTACTCAAGTTTTATTTGTTTCTTAGTATATCATGTATTTGAGCTTTGTCAATAGCAAGTTTACTTAATATAAAACTAAGAATATTATCTACTTTGAAGCCAGAGTCTTTAATCTACTTTCAGTGCCAACTTGGTCTAGGTAATTATTAGAAAGAGTTATTGTAAACAATTTTTTTGTTATACAAATACCTTATAACTTGCTAGTTATGCTAATACAATTATAATTACAAAAATCTAAGCTTAATTATTAGAAACTATTATTATAATATAAGTATTGCATAAGTAATTATTTAAATTTTTATTGTTGATAAATTTTGAACTCACAACCTATTACTTAAAAATTAACAACTTATTCACTTTACTAAGTTATTACACTTCTAATATATATATTGTTTAATATAATATATATATTTTATTTTTAGAATTTTTTTCTATAAATTTTATAATACTTTATTATATAAAGTTTTAAAATATCAAAATTTTAATTTTTTTAAAAATTAAAATTTTTAGTTAAATCTAATAATTCTCAAAAATCTTTTAAAATTTTTTTATAAAAATTTAATTTTTTATAATCTTGAATTTAAAAAATAACTTTATTAAATTTTAATAAATATTTATAAGACAGATTAGAAATATGTTACAATAAAAAATTATTTATTTTAATATTTTTTAATTTACTAAATTATAAAATGCTAAAAATAAGCTTTAAAAAAATTATTAAATTTTTTAAGATTTGCAAATTATATGTTAATTATTATAATAAACAATTTTATTATATAAAAACTAATTTGTATATAAAAAAAAAATTTTATATGTAATTATAATTATTATTAAATTTGATTAGATCATTGTAATTATTAAAATTTTGATAATTTTTGTTAAAAGAATATATATTTCTTATAGAAATTTATGTATTTTTTTTTTTTTTAATGTTAAGGTAACCTCTTTAGTCTTTTGCTTTTTATTAACAACTTATTAGTAATATGATTTAATAAATTACTACAGAAGAGAGTACAATTAGCTATATATGTAACTTTTTTATATTATCTATTTAAGAAGTTTGTCTAAAAGTTCTTTATCAATTGTCATATCTAACATCTCTGCTTAAGTGTTTTACTTTAAGTCTTCTAAACCTATAACCTGTATTAACTTACTAGTATTATAGGTGAAAGCCTTCTTAATTTTCATACTATAATAATGACACAGTATAGAAAATCTCTTACAGGTATATGCGATGTTCAAGAGAGAAGTATAGCTTCTGATAGACATTGTCAAGAAACTATACCCTTCTCTGAGACAGTTTAGGAAAGGTAATGCAATACTAATAACTTTACTTTATTTTACTAAGAGAAGATAAACTTTGTCTGTAGGAATTACCCTAGAGGGGAAGTATCAATACAGTTTATAATCAAAAGCTATTTATTAAAATAATAACAAGAAGGGCTATTCTTAGGTTTCTGTTTTTAAAGAATTCCAAGATGTGTTTATAATATTAAAGGAAAAAGAGGTGTTTGTTGCTTTCTTGTATTTGAAAAATTTAGCAGAGTTTATATATTTGTGAGCTAAGTGGCTAAGTGGCCAAGCAGCTAAGTGATTAAGCAACTAAGTAACTAAGTGACTAAGCAATTACTAAGCAACTAAGTGACTAAGCAATTACTAAGTGATCAGAAGGTTCTAGCAACTAATAACTAATGATTACTAAGTAACTAATTACTAAGCAACTAAGTGGCTAAGTAACTAAGTGACTAAGCAATTACTAATCAACCAAAAAGTTCTAGCAACTACTAGTAATATAATAATAATACAATAATAGAATAACTAATACTAAATAATAATAATAAAAT